GCCCGGCCGGGCCGCTTGTGCGGAAGGGGATCGTGCGCGACACAGCCGGGCTGCGAGCGGACACTGCTCTGCCTCGAGCCAGCCCCCGCTTCTGCGGGCAGCTCCCGGGCAGGGAAGCGAATCACAGCCTCAGGATGACTTAGGTTGGAAAAGACCTTGAGATCATCGATTCCAATTTACGACCGAACACCACCGTGTCAACTAGACACTGAGTGCCATGTCCAGTTTTTCCTTACGCACCTCCAGGATGCTGACTCCACCACCTCCCTGGGCAGTCTATTCCAATGTCTAATCACCCTCTGGTTGAAGAAATTATTCCTAATGGCCAGCCCAAACTTCCAGTGGCACAACTTAGAACTATGTCCTCTTCTGCTGCTGGTTCCCTGGGAGCAAAGCCTGGCTACAATCTTCTGCCAGGGAGTTACAGAGAATAATAAGGTTCTCTATGAGCCTTCTTCTCTTCTCCAGGCTAAACAGCTCCTGTGCCCTCAGCCATTCCTCACAGGACATGTACTCCAGACCCTCCCCCAGGTGCTTTGCCCTTCCCTGGGCTAATTCCAGTGCCTCAATGTCCTTCCTGAATTGAGGGGCCCAGAATTGGGCACGGCACTCAAGGTACGGCCTCACTAGTACTCAGTGGTGCAGAAGGGCAATCGCTTCCCTTGTGATTGGCCAAATTGTTCCTGAGATAGGCCAGGATGCCATTGGCCTTCTTGCCCACCTGGGCACACACTGATTCAGGTGAGGGGAAGGGGTGCCCACCTCCTCAGTCCCTGTGCCCAGAGGCTGCCATCAGACTTCCACAAAGGTCCACAAAAGTCCCTCAGAATTGTGAGAGTGGGGAGGCAGCTGTCTCCACCCTCCTGCCAGCATGGCATGGATAAAGAGCAACCCTGGCATGCATGGCAGAAGGCCCAGCTTGCTGTTTGCTGATACATTTTGGGTCTGTCATCATCAACAGGGACCATGAGATCCTAAAGGAAATAACTCTTCACAAAACAATGTAAGGGTGATGAGCTCAGAAAGTCACTGACAACTTGTGGAATCACCATACCTGAAAGCATTCAATAAATGAGTGGACATGGCACTTTGTGATGTGGACATGATAGCATTAGGTCAAAGCTTGGATTTGACAGTCTGGGGGGTCTTTTCCAAATGTAAATGATCCTGTCTTGTTGCTTCTGAGTGAGAGGCTGATGGCGTGGGTGGCATGGTCCTTGCAGGGTACCACAGATGAGAGGGCTTGTGGCAATGTGCACATGGCCCATTGCACTCTTTGTTGGTTTTTTTTTTCCAAACAGAGAGCAGGAGACAAAGGGCATTTCTCCTTCAAATCAAATACTTCAGAGAAAAGGATCATCCCTCCCATTTTGCGGCACCACAGGAAAAGAAGAGGTGAAGTGGGGTGAGCAGAAGTAATAGGTGTAGCTGGCAAGCAGTATAATGTTTTGGGAAAATGTTTGGACACTGGGCAAATTGACATAGGAGAACAGGATTGCTTTGGCACTGGGTAGCAGAGTGAAATGTTGGGAAGGTGAGAAAGCAGTATGGGAAAGGGAGGAGACCTGTAGTACCAAATGAAGGAAAGCTTCCACATTAATTTTTGGAGAGGAATGTACTCCTTATATGCTTCTTTATATGCTAGGAACATGCAGAGAGAGATGAATCAAAAGGCAGGACAAAGCTACTATTTAACTGCTTTGCTTTAAATTGTGTCACCTGGGAAGTCTATGACGATGCTGTGATGAAGTCTTAGTAATGATTCTGCTATACTGATTACTATTGCTACCACTGTGTTTTTCAGGCATGGAGAGCTACAGCCCAAATACTCAGTGGAAGTAAATAGTACTTGTGTGTGGACACCTTTGTTGCAGTTGTTAAAGAGCAGAGCTATTTCCTTCTCAAAATCCAGAAGTCTCAGTATGTCGATATTAATTTAAAAGGTAATTATGTTTGGTTTCTTAAAATCTGCTTATTCTCTATTTGTCAATTTATATTCTATACATGTTCATAGGAAATGTAAATTTTCTATGTGGGTAGCCGTATAATGAAACATCTCTCTATTTAGGTAAATATTAACTGGACAGATGCTGCATTTGGGAGGTGCCTGCACATCTGTGTCTAAGAGAACATGCTCATTTAAGATGCTTTTGGAGTCTGTTTTTCCTGCAAAAATATCTTTTAAATGTGCTTAGGCTTTCTTATCTCCGAGCAGCAGAATGAATAAAGAAACAGTAAGATATCATGAAGATATAAAAGGAGACAGTTTTATAACTGTGAGAGTATTCCTAATTGTACTTAACAATTTATGAAATCATAAATCACAGAATCACAGATGGTGAGGTAAAGCTTTTGTAATGCTTGAGTGCCTCTTATTATTCTAAGACTGACTGATGTATATAAACGCATTATTATTTAAACAGAACAGTTCATTGTGGTTGAAATTAAGATTTTGGTTGTAAAAGTGACTTCTTACTAAGACTTCTCAATGTGAAATGCCTTGCAGTAAAGTGAAAAAGAAAAAAATATTACATGCAAATTATTTTTCCTAAGCCTATTAAACAAATTGAATCTCTGCATATAACCCTGCATTTACCAACCAATTGATTTGGCTTGAATCTGTAGCTATAGTGCAGAATCCAGTCTTTGGTGCTTATATGTTTTGCAAGTTGTAGATATATTTTTATTGATGATCTTTTAAAGTTGTTTCTAATTTCTCAACCATATGTATGTATTTCTCACTGCTGGGAATATTGGATAAATACTGGCAAACCAATAGTACTGCAAATCACTGGAAACTAATGGAAAAATTATTTCACCAGTGTCAGTGCAGAAGAACTCAGCTGAGGTTACATTTTGTTTGGATTCTTCTTGTTCTTATTAGGGAGGATTCAATTGGAGATGATGCAGTTATGGATGGACTACCAATGTCATGTCATGTGCAACAATACATCTTCACCTGCTCATGCTTGATGTTTCCACTGAAATAAACATGAGTATTACTACCTGTTTTAGTACCCTTGAGAGCACAGTTCTGCTGGCTTGGGGTTAGGGTGTTTTTTTTGGCAAGGTAGTTCTTTTTTTGGAAAAGTGCATACAGTGAGTTAGTGTTTTGCTTGAATGTGAGAAATGGAAGTGTGAAAGTGAAGCTGTTCTAATTGATAGAGCTTTTGGGAACTTTCTTCTTTCCTACAAATTAATGAAATTGTCTAGATTAAATCAATTTAGATGGGGTGTGACTGTGAGATAATATGCTGGCCTTTCTATCTGAAAATCTCTCTGCTATTTGGATTGATGGCACTGGGCCAGTGTCTAATGGATGCACTTGTCTACATTACAGAAGAAGTTCCTGTAGTCTGGACTTTTGCTTCAGAGAGCCTGAAGATTTAGTGAATTTTTTTTCACCCTAGATGAAAACTTTCCTGTTAGTGCTATGCCAAATATCTGTTGATATTCTGTGCAGAATTTTATTGTGTTTGTAATAATCAGATTGACATCTCTGTTTTCAGTGACTGCTTGAATGAAATAAAGAATGAAGTTTTAGTGGTTCAGCATGATCTCTGCTTTTGAGCAGGGCTAAGGAGATACTGAACATCATTTTCAGACATTTCTTATGCTGGGCTTTACTACAGAAAGCAAGCATGCTGCACATCACACACTGAAGAGCATGCAGTGGAATTGAAGTAATTTTCTGTCATGAATTTTCTGGTTCTATGCTCTCAGCCATGTACATCACCTCCCTCCTTGCTGATTCGCTAGCAGCTCCATGTAATCAGCTCATGCAGTATTTCGTAAATCCCATTTTCAGGCATTTCCTGGCCTGTGCATTCTGTTCCACATCTGCACATCTGCTCCTTCTGTGAAGACATTCATTTGTTTTCTGCCAGGTTGCAAACTTCCCAGTCGTTCCTCTATTGTCTGAGTGCTTACCTGTCACATCTGCAAGAGTCTCCTGACACCAGCACTCATTGCTGCTGTGGAGGACACAGCACTGGGCAAATACTGCCTGCCCAGCAACTATTCCATTTGTGTTTCACTTACACTCTCTGTACCACCCTGCTTTACCTTATGTAATGGCTTGTAAAGGAGACCACAAGGAGGACAGAAGTACATATTGTCAGTAAAATGAGATTTCTTTTCCAATCACATCATGTTTTCCTCAACTATTTCTGTTCCACTGGAAGCATTAAATCCAGGTTTTCCTCTGTAAGTAAATATATGGATATTCTGCCATACTGTATCTGCAAGTGCTAGCCTATCATAAATTACTGCAAGCAGATAAAACACACTCAGATCTGATCAGTTAGAGTTTAGCCAGTTTCACTGCAGTCTACAGGCTGGCAGGAGCACAAGGATACTTTTTCTTGTGGTAGTGGAAGCTGAAGCAGGGAGATTAAAGATAAACTACTGGGTTTATGCTATATTGCAGCTGTAATGAATGCTGGGGTCTGCATGTGGTATAAATAAACATAAAACTGGATTTTGCCCTAAAATACTGGGGGGAAAAAATTGAGTGGTCTACCTGATATAAATTGGTTCCCTCAGTCTTTCATCTGAGTACTTTCAGAGAGGGAAATCTGGAAACCAGAATCTGTGTGTGTTTCTGGGGAGAATTTAGGTGCTTAGCCTTGACCCTACTAAGAGATTTCTGAGTAATTTTCTGATCAGCTCTGACTGCATTGTTTGTTTTCTAATAATAAGATTTCATTGTTACTTACATCTTTGGATTAAGGACTATAATCTGTTGATCCCTAAAATGTCATCAGATAATCTGTTTAATCATAAGCAAAAGCTGATCTTGATAGTCCATATGAGTTACGCAAATTAAATCAGGCACATTACTACCATGCAAGTATAGAGGCTTTCAGCAGAACTTCCTTTCTCACTAGTCCACAATTAAAAGTAGGTTTTTGTTAGGCTTTAAATTCACATATCTTTGTCCTGAGGTATAATTGAAACCTCTTGTGGAGCCTGACATTAAATTTTGGCACTGTAAAACATCTTAATTTTGAAGCAAGTGTCTGAAATATTTATGATCCACTCGGTAGTGGCTTCGAGATTAATTTTAAATTATTGATAGCACAATTACCTAGGCAGGCCCAAACTGTAGTGCCACAGGGCGCTCCAGCGTTCGCTATCCAGGGAGTTTCAGGAGAGAATTCCCCAGTTGTTACAGCGGGCAGGGGCCGCTGCCTCCGCCAGTTCCAGCTCTCGACAGCAGAGGGCGCAGCTGACCCGGCTTCACCTCTGGCACAAAAGGCGGATCCACAGCGATTCCCTCAAAAAATATTTTTTTCGGGAAAAAATATTCCTGCGTATCCCGTATCGAAGGAATGTGCCAGCTAGTAATGTTACCTCTGGGCTTAACTGCTGCATTACTTGCTGTATTACTTGGCTTATAAAAGCTTTGGTTGCTACCCCTGACAGCCCATTGTGTAGCAGTTCACTTGTCCTGCTCGGCTCTCAGATGATTTTATTTGAAGCTACAGGACTGGTTTGAGTTTACAAAGACACTGACTAACCCCTAAGGCTCTTACATCCCACGTGATATTTGTGTCATTTTTATTACAACTAAACATCAACGAATTTAAGAAGTGTCCTGCATTTACAGACTAACCTTTCCTGACAACTGAATTCTTCTGTGGTTCTCACAGAGGGAAGAGTGACCGTGAATATCAGCATTGTGTTATTTTACCTGTGGGTGGGGGTAGAGGGAGAGCCAGAACGCTTCCTGTTAGAATTTCATGTTCAGAAGCTATACTCTGAGCCAAGCTCCATTTCCAGAAAAAGTCTGTACAGCTCAATCCTTTGTAATTTCTTTCTGAGTCATCAGCCCTGTAGGAACGAGTGTCTGTACTTGGATGAAGCCTTTAAGGAACTGAGCTGGAGGCACAACTGACAATGAGCAAAGAAAATGAAGTCTGTAGTACACCCAGTGTCATGTAGGAATATTTCTGTTGCTCATCCCTGTTCTCTTGCCTCAGGCTGCTTTGGACTGGTTTGACATTCAGGCCTCATGTTGTGAAATGCTGAAGTAAGCAGACCTGTGTCTGTAATATAGCTAATATAAAAGAACCTGTCCCTGATTACATCTTGGAGTGGTGCTGGAATACGCTGTACTTGATTCCTGCCTGGCAGCTCATGTGCCAAGTGAAGTTTTTCCAGGCATTTAGTTTCTCTGGTTTTATGTTCAGGACCTGTTATCCTCTGGGTCTCCCAGGAATTCCCAGGTGGTGTGGAGTGAGCTGTTATTTGTACCTGGGGTGCCTGACTGCTGCATCGGACACCTCAGTCTGCATTTTCTTCTTCCTCTCCAGCAGCAGCAACCAGGCAGCAGAGAGCCAATTGCTATATTGGCATTATGTGTACATCATAAACCAAAATTCTGTGCTCAGATGTAGAAATCCTTTACAGTTTCTGTGTGGTGTTGCAAAACAACTTGTCCCAGATCCAGATCCCAGCCCGCAGAGGGCAGCCTGACCCCGTGTTTTACTCCAGTGATGTGCTTGGGAATTCAGTCATCTGCTGGCATCTCTATCGGCGTGACTTGCTGTGGAATAAACAACTGAATGTTGTGGAGAGTTGGCATCAGCTTTTAGCTTAAACAGATTCAAAAGTGAACTAAAAAAAAAAAAAGCGTGACTGAATTAAACTTTCTGATTTGTTGGTTTATTTTTTTTTTTTTAACACATTGAAAGAAAAATATTTCATGAGAAAACTCATCTAGATCTGAGCTTTAAATACTTTCCATGTATAACAGATAGATTTATTGGCATATGTCAATAGGCAAGAGAAAGAAAATACCCGGAACCTGTGTACATGAACATATTGGGCAAGACTAACAGGAAAAGTGTTTTTCTTCTTTTCCAAACATTTTCAGGAATCTTTCAGGACTTGAGTTTATTGTTGCTGTGACTCTAGGACTGTGCTTTTGGCTGGCTGGCCCATGTTCTTTCCCAAGTGTGTCCTGAGTCCTTGTGAAACAGCCATCACAATTTCCAGAAGATTTTTGTCTAGGAGGGTGTGTCTACATGCAGTCATTTGCCTTGACTATGAAACTGATCAGTGCTAGGTCAGGTACCAGTGGCTGATATATTGACTTAGTATGACAAGGAACAAGGCATTCAGTTCCTGAGAAAGAGCCAGTACTTTGTGCTCTCAAATCAAATTGCATCCACCAGCTAATTAAGGAATGATCTTGATATGCTCTGAAGGGAGGCCTGTCCAATTCTATACTTCTCAGCCAGAGGGCCCTGCAATACAGAGCTCAGGATAGAAAATACATATAAAGAAAATAGCATGTGAGAAATTAAGACAGTGATGTGTGCATTCCAGGAATACAGGGAGAAACCTAAGTAGCTGTTATGATCAGACATCAAATTACACACTGATATACTTTCAAGATGATTTAGATAATTAATTTTTTTTGGCCCCAGACTTTCTACCCCACAAAAGTCTGGCTGTTCACAGCAGAATGTAATGTATTTCTCAGAGTTTGGCTCATTGCAATTACAACCACAGGTGTATTTTCCCTTCTGATTCATCAAACTTTCACTGTACATAGCAGTGCTGAGAGATTTTTACTCTGACTTATCCAGAATATTCTTTGCTATTCTTGTTATTTATAAACATCTTTGCTAAAATGAACTTGGACCAAGGAAATGCCTTCCATGTTTTACATGCTGTAAAAATTACTCTATGGAAAAACACATATTTGACCAATTCTAACTGTGTAAATTAATAATTTTGGCCACAGCAAATTTTTTAGGGTAAAGGATAAAGCAGGACACACAGAGAGATAATGCCCTTCCTTGATGCAGCTCTGGAAGGTATATAGATAGCAGCAAAGGCAGTTTATGGATTGTCTCTGTTTCTCCTGAAGACAACCACTGATGCAGGTACTCTGTCACAGAAGGCTGCTTGGTTGGTCAGGCAGGACCTGCCCTGGTGAAGCCATGCTGTCTTTCTGAAATCACCTCCCTGTTCTCCCTGGGCCTTAGCAGAGCTGCTAGGACAATTTCTTGCCAGGCACAGAGGTGAGGCTGATGGCTCAGTGCTTCTTAGGCTCCTCATTTCTAGCCTTTTTAAAATTAAGAGCGATGTTTCCCTTTTTCCAGTCATCGGGGACTTCACTTGACTTCCATGACTTGTCAAATATCATGAAAAGTGGCCTGGCAACTACATCAGCCAATTCCTTCAGGACTTAGGGATGCATCTCATCACCTCCCACAGTTGTGTGTTCACAGCTCTTATTCACAGGACATACTTTGTGCGTGACCTTGGGAGAACCTGCTGCAAAACCTGGTTAAGTTTCTGGCTCTGAGCTCTTTGTTGGCATCTTCCTGGTGAGGTTCACACATAGGGGTGATGTTGAAGTTCTCCAGCAGTAAATGCTGCCCAACATTTAGCTGACGTTTCCAAAAGCTGACTCTCAGAAAAGAATTTGTCATTTTGGCCTTTGTGTCCTAAGTTCCCACAGGTACAGCAGTCATTTTCATGGAAGAGCAATATAGAGTAGGTATTAACAGGCTTATCTGAGGGCTTTTCCTTA